TTCTTTACTCTCTTTCTATTCTTAAATAATATATAACTAAGCTTCCTGTTAACCCTTCTAGAGAGTATATTAAAGCTATTTTATAGAGATAAGATTAAGAGATATTTCTTTATTAATCTTAATTTAAGTTCTTAGATTAATAGGGTAGATAGTTATATACTTTATTCTATATTCTTTAATAACTATCTATCTAGTAATCTAATTAATATTAAGGTTGAAATATTTTAGCTAATCTTAACCTAAGATAATATTATACTCTATTATTTTAAGGACCTAGGGAGTAATAATATAGTACTAATTACCTAACTTAAGTAGAATTTAAACTTAATATAATATATATATAAATCTACTATTTAGTAGATGAACCTATAGTTATTTAGATATTTATTAAAATTAAAACTATAAAGAAGGTAATAAATTAGCTAGATATTTAGAAATAAATATATAACTAGAGCCATAGTCTAATAGTACTTAGAGATGGACTACTATCTAAGAAGTATTAAGTATAGTAGGGAAATAGAGAATATTAGATCTAAGAGTATTTAAATAAGTATTAATACTATTATAGTCTTCTAGCTCTAAATCTATTTCTATTATATTAGATAGTCCTTCTTATAGTGGCTAATTTTCCTTATTATTATTATTATTAGACTTATTATAATTCTTTAGTAATTTAAGATTATTAAATACTTTATATTCCTTAACTTTAGAAGCCTATAATAGTTAACTAACTAGTACTTCTATATCTAGTAGTCTATTACTTTTTCTAACTACTTTTTATAATTTAATTATAGCTAGTTTAGTATAGTATAAGCTTAGATATTATAGCCTTTTTATCTATAATTAAAATAAGCTTAATTAATTTAGTACTATGCCTTCTATTTATATATTCCCTTCTTTAATTAATTTAGGGATGCAGTAATAGCATTTAAATTAATATCTATTAGATCTATCTAGTAATTATTAACTTTACTAAAGGATTAAAGCTATACCTAAATATATAAGGCCACTCCCTATTTATACTTAGTAAAATAATAAATTATATTATTAAAAGTAGTTAGTTTATTATAATCTTCTGCCTAGTAAGTATATAGAACTAGCTTTAAATTAGTAATAAACTTCTAGATTAATATATTATCTAGAATTCTAGATTTAATATATTTAGTAGCTTTAATTAGGGAAGTAATATAAGATTATATAGTTTAATTTTCTTAGATATACCTCTTATACTCTTCCTACCTTTTATTCTTTTCTCTAATTTCCCTAAAGTTATCTTAGATCTACTATTTAAAAGTATTAAGGGTGATTATAGTAGCTATTAAATTATATTTAGCCTTCTATTTATAAGTATCCTACTACTCTTTAGCCTAGCCTATAAGATAATACTTAATTACTATAACCTTTTTAAGTTTAGTAGCTTCCTTCTAAGTAAGAGTTTACTTATTATAAAAGTATTTATTAATCTACTAGAGCTACTTTACTATAGCATTCTTACTATACTTATTATTATATATAGGGATTAGTTTAAGGTTAGAAACCTTTTAATATAGCTTAAGTATTTTAGGGGTAATAGTAGGAAGAGAGTTAGAATTAAGAGTAGTAGCTATAGCTTCTATAGCCCTATCTAGATAGGTATAATCTAGATAGTTATACTAATCTTAGAGAAGTTTAACTAGCTATTTATATAGCTAGATTAGTTTAGCCTAGGTATCTTTATTTATGCCCTAGGCAGTAAGAGTAAACTACTATTAGAGTTAAAGGTATTCTATCTTAAAGCTATTACTATAATTAGTAGCCTAGGTTTAAGGGGTCTCCATACTAGAAGATATAGATTTAATATTATCTATTTTATTAAGTAAAGAATAATATCTAATTAAGAGTAGAAGTTAGATTAATAATTATTAATATTAATTTAAACTTATTAAAATAACTTTAATAACTTCTAATTTATCTTTCTTTAAGGTTAAATCATTAATCCTATATCTATTACTATTTTAAAAGACTCTAATAGCCTATAATATCTATAACTTATAATATTACTACAGGGAAGAGTTGATAAGGATATCTCTATAGTAAATTATTACTATTATAGGTATCTAGATTAGTCTAAGAAGGTTGAAAACTTATTAATCTAAGGTATTTTCTATTAAGTTAGGGATAATTAATATAAGAGATTTTATTAAAGTTAAATTATTAATAGTATTCCTAAGGGTTAGTAGATTAAAGCTACTATAGTTTAGATTAATCCTTTATAAGGGGTTTTAAACCTTTCTAGGAATTAAGTATCATGTATTTATTTGATCTAGACATACTACTAGATAGGATATTTGTTATTATTAAGGATGTGGAGTCTTTAAAGAGTGTAAGGGTAGGGGGTAGGCTAGTGACTACCCCCCTATCTACCTTATTAACTTTAAGGGATTCCAGTCTTCTTTTATATTTTAACCTAATGCTAAGAAGGAATGTAAGGTCTAACTAACTATGTAAATAGTAATAATAATTACTAGATATCATTGCACATCTGATAGACTTCCCCGAAGTCATATATGTGCTGTTTGATATCACAATATAGTAGCTATCTATTAGTTTTATAGTTACTTTAGAGGGTGATTATTATCTTTATTAGTGTGAGACCCCGCGCCAGGCTGCGTGAGTTCCTAACTGAGGCAAAAGACCTACTATGTTTAACCCCTATGGTCAAACATGCCTGGCTTCTATATATATATCTTAGTCTTACTGGCTCAAGCCCCTTAACAACTATCTCCCTCTTTCTTAGGGCACATCCTGGGCCCTATCCTGGCACCCTACAGGTCTAGGGTAGCCAGTGATGTGGAGGTGCTTTAGCCTAAGGGCAAGTCTATTCCCTACTATAGGCATGCTAAGGATATATATATATGGGCCCCTAACCAATCATAATAGGGAATTGGCCCTAGGGGATGGTTATGAGCAAGGGTTAGTCTATTAGGTGACCCCCCCAGGTATCAAACCCCCAACACCACCTCACCTATAGGGGTCAAACATACTGTGAGACCCCGCGCTAGGCTGCGTGAGTTCCTAACTAAGGTAAAAGACCTACTATGTTTAACCCCTATGGTCAAACATGCCTGGCTTCTATATATATATCTTAGTCTTACTGGCTCAAGCCCCTTAACAATTAGTTAGGTTTAGTAGATTAATATTATTTAAATAGTTAATAATTTAAGTAGAGTAGTGGGAGGTGATAGAGCTAGTTTAATTAATTAAGCTAGTTTAATTTATAGGGGCCTTCCTAAATACTATTAAGGTTTTAGGGGATAGCACTAAGGGGGTAAATAAGATATTATTAATATTTTAGTCTAATAATAATATTAGGGATAATATTAAGGTAGATACCTAACTATAAGATAGCTACTTATAAGATAGCTCTAATCTTACTTTCTTAGATCTCTTAGATAGTCTAGTAGTTTTTTTTACTATAGTAGACCCTCTAGAAGAGCCTTTAGGGCTCTTAGATCCCTCTATTCCCTTAGATCTCTCTATTTATATAGGGGAGCCCTCTACTAAGGTATCTAGGATAGATACTAGGGGGGAGGTACTTAGTATAGTAATAGAATCTAAGCTACTACTCTTAGGATCTTTTTAGAAGTCTTATAAGTAGGATAGAATATAATAATATTACTAGTAATAGTAGAAAGCTATCTATATCTTATCTATCTTCTCTATATACTTCTTATATCCTTTAGACTAGGTAGTATATATACCTCTATAGTTAGTATACTTTCTTAACTTCTAGCTAGTGGCCTGCTAGAGTAGGTAGTTATAGGTCTTATAACTATCTATATAGAGGCTATAGATAGTTTTATTAGAATAGATACTTCCTATATAGCTATATTACTAATAGTTAAAGCACTAGTAGATATAAGTAAACTAATTATATAAGATTATAGTTAGGATAATAGAATTCTAGATAGTTCTCTTATTAATAGCTTTATTAGTGGCCTAGGGGGTAGAAAACTTAATTACTAGAATAGAAGACTTCTTATTAGTAGGCTAGTTTATAAGCTAGGTAATATAGATAATCTTTACTAAATTACTCTATATAAAATAGTTTATAGCTAGTAATTAGTTAGTTACCTACTTTACCTTCTTAGGGTCTACTAGATTACTAATTAATTTAACCTAGATATTATAAACTACTATACCCTAAATTAGCAGGTGGATAATAGCCCCCTAGTAGAATAATTTAGCCTAGCTAGAGTAGTAGTATATAATCTCTACTTACTAAGTAGTCTATAGGCTAAGGCTTAAATTATCTAACTTAAGCTAGTAGATAGCTATAAATTTAATAGATATAAGAATAGTTACTATAGTTTTCTTTAAGATCTTTATATAGGCCTTCTTAGCCTTATTCTTTATCTTTACTATCTTTAGGTGCTAGAACATGCTTACTATACTAGTATCTAGTAGTTTAATAATAACCTTATAGTCCTTACTTAGTTCTAAGGGGGTAGCCCTAGGGCTACTTAAGAAGCTATAGAAAGAGATTATATAGCCTAGAGGGGGTGCCTCTATAGTAGTAGCTATATATAATTAAATCTTAGTAGATATAAGAATAGATTAAGTAGTTAGAATATACTAGGTAGAGATAGTATTCTTTTTAATATTAAGAGTAATCTTATAGAGGTTAGTAATTACCTTCCTCTAGTTATTACCTAAAGAGTTTTTCAGGACCTCCTTAATAATAGTATATATATTAGTAATTAGCTTAATAAGAGGATTTAGAATTCCTTAATTATAAATCTTTAAATAGTTTAAATAGATACTTATATTATAGTAAAGGTCTAGAATATAATTATATAGAGTTTTCTATAGCCCCTTTTTACTACTATAGGAGGCTATTAGGGGCGGCCACCCTAGCTTTAATAATAATATAGTAATTAAAGTCCTATAAAATTAGGATCATTTGATAGCTGCTGACGTTATAAGAAACTAGGCAAATTTCAGGATCAAGAGGGGTTAATTTATGTAAGAAATTTCAAAAATTTGTTCTGCATTAAAGTTGTTGTTTTTTGAGCCCACAGGATCCAATCGCTGCCTTGTACATAACCTGCTGTACCCGTTGACAAAGCGCTGTCGTGATAGTTCAGTATGATTTGCGACACGCCTCGAAACATCCGGTGTTGGAACCTGTCGAACCGGGTCAAGATCGGCATGACGTTCGGGAGGACCCAGTTTCGGATAAAATTTCCTACGTAGCCCTTGGCAACGAGGTTGGTGAACGCCCGGTCGGTAGTGTTGACGAGGATACTCGCGAACGCACGGCGTTCAGGATCGTAGCTGTCCAGCAGCGATGCGTCAGCTTTACCATGCACCACCGCGGCGATCTTCCAGGCGAGATTGATCGCGTCACCGATGCCCGTGTTCATACCCTGTCCGCCGACAGGACTATGGATATGCGCTGCGTCGCCTGCGAGGAACGCGCGGCCCCGGCGGAAGCTGGCTGCCACGCGATGGTGTACGCGGTAAGTGGTGAACCAGTTGACTTTGTCAATCTGCAGCCCCATGTTCTTGATGGTGGCTGGTGCGACGTCATCGAGCGTGAGTTCGGAAAGCTCTTTGGTTACGCGTGTTTCGTCCACTGCGCCCGAGAGACGGGCCTTTCGGTCTTGGTCGTATGCCAGAGATAACATGAACTCGGATCCGTTGAGAGAGACGTGTGCCTCACCGTTCAGCGTCGGCCCGCTGCCCTCGATATCTGTCACGTAGAAGAGCTGGGGGTACGTTGCGCCTTCGAAGGCGATGTTGCTGGTGTGACGGACGGCGGAGTGGGCGCCGTCGCAGCCCACGATGTAGGTTGCTTCGCAGAACTCTGTTCTCTCGTCTTTTGTTGAGTTTGGTTGCTTGGTTGTGTGCTTCAGTTGGGCCAAGAGGTACTCGTCATGCTCCTCAAAATTGACCAGTTCCCAGTTCCGTTGCACAGTTACCCCCATCGCATTCAAGCGGTCTTCCAGTAATCTCTCGTGGAAGTCCTGAGGATAAATATGAATAAACGGGTACGGGGTCAATCCCTTGCCGATATTACCGATGGGGATATGGGCCCGGTGGGCACCTTCAGCCCAGAGATTGGTAGCTTCGATTTTGTGGCCGTTGGCGACCACGTCGTCGGCGAGGCCTAACTGACGATATAACTCGAGTGTACGAGCGTGGATCACCAAGGCCCGAGACGTAGATGGTTTGGCTTCTTTTCTGTCGATAATGCGCACCTTGACATTCTGGCGGGTGAGCCAGAGGGCGAGGACGAGGCCAGTGGGACCTGCCCCGATAATGAGGACTTCGGTACGTGGAATCATAGTCCAGAATCAGTCGTGATGATAAAAGGTCTCAATTGCTTGTGCTATCATGGACAAATATACGGGCGTACCATGCTCTTATATGAATTCGCTAAGTTGTAAGCGCTGCGCGTCATCAACGGGAGTATTCGGGGTGTGCTGATGCAGAGATAGCTTGTGAGTACATCACAAGACTCAACGAATTTGACTGACTCATGCACGCTGCCAGTAGGCATCTATTCTCTATGTTCAAATTCCAAGTGATTTAAGGCCCCCAGCAGGCCAAATGACCAAGTGGGTCTCGGGCTGGCAACAGGATTCATGCCCGTGTCCCCTAGAGTCCGGAGATGTAGTCCCCTGAACGCCGACTACAGGCAACTTTCAAAGATCTTAAGCATATATCAACTTCTATTCGACCAGTCCACTTCCCAGTAATATCTCAGTGGGTTACTGATCCTCAACATACAGGCGGCGAAAATGTATTTCTTCTCTGAGAGAAACCTGCTGCTTTCTACTCGATATGGGTGTGTCATCATGGAGTTATGTGAACCTCATTCCTTTTTCTAGTTTCAGGGAACGATCTAATCAACGAAAGAATAACAGGATTAAAGTCTCGGACATCGATCCGACTTGTAAGCAATCTAGTAAAGGATTGACACTGGTTGGAACAGATTATATCTTCGACAACTCCCCACAAGGACATAGAACCAGCCTCTAACCGCTTTCTATCCGAGCACCCATGATTATTAGCGAATTGTGTTATTGTGCATCCATGACGCTTAGATGAGCGTGCTCTCAATAGCAGCCAGGGTGCCGTTCTCAATGGCACCAGCATGGTGACGAGCAACCAATCCATAAGCGTATTGGTACCTAGTCACAGTTAGAACCATCTGAAAAGTGCCGAACGGTGCCAACTTACTTGTCCAGGTAGGGCAGAACCTGGTCCAGGCCAGGGGTGTTTCTCCAGTCGCGCATCAGGTCGGTGACGACGCCAAAGTGTGCCCATGAGGGTGACGCCGGCCTTCTCCATGCGACGGTTGGCATCGGCCGCCAGCTTCTCGTCAAAGGTGCCGCTGGCCTCGGTGTTGGCGAAGACCTCGTATCCCTCGTCGATGAGCGAGAGGGCCAAGAAGGCGGTGCCTATCTTGTTAGTCGCGTCTCTGAAACGGGATCGAGGAAAGAGGAAACTGGAACTTACAAACTTCGGTGACAATACCACCGATAATCAATTGCTTCTTGCCGGTGGCCTTTACGGCCGCGCGGAACTCGGCATTGTCCCAGGCGTTGACCTCTCCCTGGCGGTGGACAATGGTCACATTGGGATTCAAGTCGACGACCTCCTTGATCATCAGTCCGTTGGGACCCGCGTCAGAGGAAGTGGTCATGACGACGGGCAGGTCGAACAGGTTGCCCAAGGCGGCGTGGGCAAGCATGTTGTTGCGGAAGTCGTTGGTGTTGAAGTCGCGGACAAGCTGAGCGAGACCGACTTGGTAGTCGATGACGAGAACGGCCTGATCGAGGAATTAGTAGCCAGACAACCCGGGACAGGAACAACATGGAAATACCGCGTTCTCCTTGTCCAGTCGGTTCCAGCCCTTGGCGGTCGCGGAGGCCGCCAGGAGGGCAACAGTCTGAAGGGCTCTGATGAAACGCATCTTGTCGGTGTTGATGATTTAGATGAGATGATGGACTGTTCTGTCTGACTGTTGCTCTGTGGTCTGGATATCAACGAACGGAAGGGGGAAGCACTCTCCTTTATACACTTGATCTTCGCTGATCGGTTTCAACTTCGAGACGAGACTCATCTCCGGTTCCTTACCATCCAGTTAATAAGCATGACACATTGTTTGCTAAATTCCAAGCTGACTCTAGAGTACCCATTCAAATTATTCACCCTTAGCCTGCAGCCCTCTGCAGGGAAGCGTTGCAAGGATGTGTAGTTGGCCTCTAATAAACAAGAAGGAAGATCTTGCAAGCGCGACATGCTCTCCATGTCTCAGAATAATCTCGCATAAACCTCAAGGCAAAGCTTTCGAGATTGCCTTCTATGAGATTCGAAAGTGGAGTGAGACCCTGAGTAAGGTCATGGTAATGATGTGCTAAGATGGCAGATCCACAATCTATTCTACAATGCCGGTTAGCCACAACAACCATGGACGACTATACGGGAGATCTATGCTCAACTAAACAATAGACTAATAGTATTCAATTGAGATTCCTCCAAGCTTGAGACTCAACTACTGAACATATGTAAAGGGCCATATCAAAGTATTTCTCCATTGAATTCATCTACCGAGAAAGTCATTCGAGTCTATGTCAGCCACCATGTTCCTAGCCAAGTTTGGATATTCCCGGAAATCAGGATCTCACTCGTCTATGTTGGTGACAAAATCATACATAAGACTGAGTAAGACTATAAGAGTACTGCACCCGTAAAGCTGTCAAAGCCATCCATAAGCATTAAGTAATGTATTTGGCCAATCATGTGTGGGAATGCTGTCAGTCTGGGCCGAACCTTTAAATGAGCCCGAATAACAAGATTAATAATAAGATAGTTTTTCCCAGTGTTCCAATCGCTGCCTGACTATTCAATTCATGGATGATAATGGGAGATGGACAGCTTGCTCAGGGTCTTGGACACTTGTACATCCCGCAGAGTTCATGCGTGAAAATTGAAAGCTCAGCATGTACAGAGTACTAAATGACAAACTGAAGCAGGAGCTATACTGCTACAATATATATTACAATTTGATTCTGATTTGAATTGTGTGCTCATAACTGAATGATGAGCTACGACCTTTAGGCACCAGCATACAATATATATATATATACGTATTTGGAATCAACTCCTTCGCGAGTCCTCAGTGCCGGCGAGGACAATAGAGCCCAGCAGACATCAGCATCAAAAGTATGACCAGTTCTGATTTTATATGACGAGTCCAAAGCGTGATAGACACGAGAGAAAGGTAGCAGATATGCTTATCTAGACCTGTTGATGCTATCAGATATGATGAGATTGCCACATGGCTCGTTATCGTGCGGGGTAAACTGTACAGGTTATAACTAGAAACGTGCAGCACACAAAGACAATAACTTTGTAACAAGTCAGGAAAACAACCACAATGTCTGACATACCCCACATATCAAACTGGGTCAACGGCACCCATACGCCCCCAGTCCCCAAGCGCATTACCGTGCTCAACCCCGCAACCGAAACCCCCCTCGCAACCATCGACGCAACACCCCAAGCAACCGTCCAAGCCATCATCGCAACATCATGGGAAACATTCCATACCGGACCATGGTCCCGCGCTGATGCCTCCGACCGCTTCACCGTCCTCTCCAAGGCAGCTACCCTTCTCCGCGCCCGCATGTCCGAATTCGTCGACCTCGAAACCAGACAGACCGGCCGACCGATCCGCGAGATGCGCGCCCAGCTAGCCCGCGTACCGGAATGGCTGGAGTACTTCGCCTCGCTGGCTCGCGTCCACGAAGGCAGCGTGACGCCCTTCAAGGGCCCCGTCGTGAACACCCTCACCCGGCTCCCGCTGGGCGTCGTGGCGCAGATAACACCGTACAACCACCCTCTTCTCATCGCGACGAAGAAGATAGCCGCTGCGCTGGCGGGCGGAAACGTGGTTATTGTAAAGCCGTCGGAGCTGGCGCCGTTATCGGTGCTGAGGCTTGGTGCGTTGTTCAAGGAGGCGGGCTTGCCGGACGGTGTGTTGCAGATTATCAGCGGGTATGGCTATGGGACTGGCAAGTTTCTGTGTGAGAGTCCGCGGCTTGCGAAGATCGATTTGACGGGTGGACTGGCGACGTACAAGGCTATTGCGCCTGCTGCGGCGGCGAACATGATCCCCATCACGGCGGAGCTTGGGGGGAAGGCGCCGGTGTGTTTGTTTCCGAGCCTGGACGTGGAACTGGCGGTTAAGGCGGCGCTGTTTGCCAGTTTCATTGCCAGTGGGCAGACGTGTGTGACTGGGAGTAGACTCCTAGTGCATGCTGATCTTTATGATCGGTTCAAAGACCTGTTGGAAAAAAGGGTGAGAGCCTTGCGGGTGGGAGACCCGATGGATGAGCGCACGCAGATTGGCTCGGTCATCTCTCGCGCAGCTGTCGAGAGATGCTCTTCTTTTGTGGCGAGGGCAGTACAGGAGGGAGGCCATGTGCTCTGCGGTGGTAACCCGTTAATCCCGAATGGGAAAGGCTTCTTCTTTGAGCCAACCATCATTGAGACACATGCTGATTCGGATCTCGCTTGTAATGAGGTCTTCGGGCCCGTTATCGCGCTCGTAAAATGTGAATCCGAGGAGGAGATCATCCGCATCGCCAACAGCACGTCCTATGCCCTGGGAGCATCGGTCTGGACCAACGATTTCGGCCAGGCTCATCGCGTTGCTGCAAAGATTGAAGCGGGCATTGTCTGGGTAAACGGACACCACCTGAATGATCCATCTTCACCTTGGGGTGGGTTTAAGGAAAGTGGTATGGGAAAGGAGAATGGTATCGAAGCTTATGAGAGCTACACCAAGGTCAAGAGTACAGTGATCAACTATGGGGTGCAGCCTGTATGGTTTGATGACGAGCCGGCCAACGCGCGGTATGGCTAGTTCCTACGACGGCTTGTGGAGTGTAACGGTTGGTGTACCTCTATTGCATTCAGTTCCAACGTAGCTGAGTAAAAGTAATCGAGATTGCCACACTCAAATTCAGTAACGTGTAGCGACTGACAGTAGATGGGTCATTCGGCCCTGAGGATTGCCCGATTCGGTAAATGCGGCTGGAGCCCAAGTAATACCCATTTTGTGCACTTATTACAGAGATAACTATTATTGCAAGATACTGAGATATGCTAGCAAAAATTTGTGGATACTTTTTCTAATGTAGAGAGTCGTCATTCGTGCAATTTCTTGGTGAGACATGCTATCATATCCCTGTCCAAGGCGCAGTAGAGAGATTAATCGATACGACGGTATAGTCGTAGTGGGCTGACTGGGGTAACTCTTACCGGGGGTCTTGACTTCCACTTGTGGATAGATGAGAAACACTAGGTTGGTAACATGATCTTCATGGCAAAGCTCGCTCGATTCCGACTACACGTACGGTAATATACTATTTACAGTCTCATATTTACTAAGGTAGCGTATTACTCGCATTATGGCTGTTCTGATGTTGATCTGAATACAGTTTAGTCCTGGGGGTTCGGAAAGGAGATAAAGTATAAACATTTGCACCAGTTGATGGCTGATAGTTAACATCTCAATATCACGTAAGCCAGATCTATCTCCAGCTCGGAGATCACTGTGGGCTGCTCCGATTTGTTCAATGATTGTGTTTAGACTTTGGCTAACATTTATTGATTAGTGAACAACTCCGCTGCTCCTTATCAGCGGACCTTGATTCGTTTGATGACAATTCGCAGACGGCTTAATAATCCTCAGTGGATTCCTCCAGAATCGGTCCCCCGCCCGCCATGATTCGCTTGGCCACTATTTGGAGCTTTAGTTCGCCCCCCGGCGGAACGTGGGAATTCTACTCCGTAACAACTGGCTCCGTCTTCAAGCGATACATCAGAGATCATAAACCTCACGTTCTCAACCTTCGCTCATTGATAGCTAGTAGCCATGTCGGACGCGCAGCTTCAATTCAGTGACAGCGTTTGGGCTCGGTCGCTTTCAGTTTCGAGTCTAAGCCCTGTGTCTCAGGCGCCAGTTATATCATCATCTGAATCGAACCCCACTCTCTCAACGTCTTCTGACGATCATCAGTCGGGAGAGGACGAGGGATCACGAAAGAAAATCAAGGTCAATTCACAGCCAGCAATGACCAGGGAACAGGCTTCTAAGAAGAGAGGTCGCCCTCAGAAAGTGCAGGATGCTCAGACCCCTGCGGAGGTGAGTTATAGCCATCGCTTTCTTACTCTGAGAACACCTGCTCAAAGCAGTATTAGAGACGCCGGGCTCAGGTCCGTCTAGCACAGCGTGCCTACCGTTCCCGTCAAGAAGCCACTTTGTCGCAGCTGAAGAATCGTATCACTGAAATGGAATCGGTGATTGACACGATGACGGAAGCCTTTCTTGCATTTAGCGACAGTTTAATGCAATCGGGCGTATTAAACACATCCCCTGTCATTGCTCAGTCCCTTCAACAGGTGACTGCCAAGTATGTTGCACTTTCAAGTCAGATCACCGAAAAAGACGGAGATGACGCCACTCCGCAAGATAAACCATTGTCCCAAATCACTGCATCAGATTTGTCAGCCTCGCACTCGGCAGAGCAGAAAAGCCCGTTGTCAGACTCCGTGGTCGCTGTCAAAACAGCCCCCATTAATGGTGACCTCGAGATACCAGACATGGCTATTGACTCCCTTTTTCCTATTACACCTCCAACACATATCAGAGTCCCATCCCCTCCCCTTATCAGCCTACGCACACCCATGTCGCATCTATACGGTCCGGATAGCCCCTTCTTCGCCCAGCGGTTGCATCTGGCCGCCTATAAGCTCGCATACCGATACCTGAAAGATTCCACTATTCCCGACTCCGCGTTACTTCCGCGCTTTGGTTTCCTGATGTCTCGATGGACCAGACCTCAACTTATCGCATACTTGACCTCTTTCCTGAAATCTTCCGGGGGTGTTGAAGTTTCCAGGAAATTCAATCCTCCCATGCTGAACTTGGGCGGTGCCGGGTTGCACTACCCACGGAAGCATTCGCCTATCAGCGACCCCAATCTTCATTGGCTTCCCTCGGCTGAAGACATTGGGACGATGTATGCAAATGGGTTGAGCGTCCAAGACCTTGAAGAACCATGGTTTGACCCGGGGGATGTGGAGGGATTCCTTGAGGAGCAGGGCATAATTCTTTCCAATCGAAATATGCACCCAGAAAATCCACAGAGTGGTTCATCGGAGAGCAATTGGACCCATCGTCAGGATGTGGTTGCGAGCACATGGCAGTCAAGCTTTCTGGACGGTCGGGTTTCCAACTTGGCTGTCGACGAAGATCAATTGATCGATTGTAAGCAGCGTTGAACTGGATACCAGTGTAACATTGAGCGCTAATTCTGATCCGGCAGGGCTGTCCTATCGCGGCATTTGCCTAGGCCGTTCGCCAGCGTTCCGCAAAAGTGACGTCGAGAGGTTCATATCGCAAAATGCCTGGCCCGTGGGCACGCTTCAAATGCCTATGCAGGCCATCGCAGTAGTCTAACTCTATTATGTCAGCGCATTAGGATTTTGCCTTTTGTGGAAAAGCCGGTTGCTGGCCCGTAACGTCCGTGACCATCGACTCCAGTGGTCTCTACTTCATATTCAGCACGCTCTCCACTTCTGCTGTATCAGCTGACGAGGACTGCCTGAGTTCTGCCGTCGGAGCGGATGCTGAGTTGTCTCTGATTACCTTGCCATCCGGAAGCCGTCATTGTGAAGCCGGGCCGCGAGGAACGAGGTGATCACAACCTGTCCGACCCCCTGCACTGTGGCCGCTTTTTTCAAGGGAGCCGTGGTGTCCTTTCACAGCCAGAAGCAAAAGCGCTTTCCGGTTTCATGCGGAATAGGCGAGGCAACGGAAAGACATAGTTGACTCCATCGAGCATCATGGCAAACGCGAAGTCTCGCGTAGTCTCTGGGACGATAGCAAAGTGCCTTCGTATTTTGAGATCGTTCTGGGGTTATGGTGTCTGTTCCTCCTTGCGTTTGCGTGTTCGAAGGCCGTGGCCCAATCCCAGGGCTTCAAGGGAGATGGCGCTGGCCATAATTTCGGTGGCGCCGGTGAATCAAGATGAGGCCGGAGGGCATTTTGACGCTCTATTTTTCATGTTCACTGGGTCGTCATGGGATGCGGTGGGGGTTTTAAATATGCTAGGAAGGATTCTTTTCGCACTTGGGTCAAGGAGGAGGCTGAAAGACACTAAGTACCTTGGCTCGGGGTGAGTGCAATGTTTAGTGATCAGTTGGTGGAGAAGGTCGAGTGACTGACCCGACTTTCTCATATCACTGATTAGTAATATTCGTGTCCGAGCACAACTGCACCATGTCGAGGACGGGATGATTAGTATTCACAAGATGCATGTCACCACCCCGCTCAATTTCCATAGCTTGCGTTCCACATGTTCGTGTTTATCCAGTAACGGTCTATATATAGTAGTAATAGTATCCATACCAATACAGCAGCTCTTTTCTAGGCTGACGAGTTCCCTTGGTTGCACAGACGGTTGTCTGTCAGTATGATACAACTCTTCCAGTAACTGACTATATAATGGTACTCATCCACCACGATTATTAACAATCATCCAAACAACACCCACTCATCTGCGCATAAACAACATCCATCGCACAAATAATCAAAATGCCTCGCTGGCTCATCCAGCACAGCCCCAACACCCTCACCCCCGAGGAGAAATCCCACCTCGCCCAAGAAATCACCCAGGTCTACCTCCGCTTCGGCCTCCCCGCCTTCTACGCCCAAGTGCACTTCATCGAGCAACCCGCCGGCACCTCCTTCATCGGCGGCGAGCAGCACCCCAACTTCGTGGCGCTGACCGTCTACCATCTGGCGCGAACGATGACCTCCGACGAGCAGAGGCAGGGATTCCTGAAACGCATTGACGCGGTTTTGACGCCGGTGTTTGAGCCCAAGGGGATCGACTGGGAGTACTTTGTGACGGAGGCGCCGAGGGATCTGTGGAAGATTAATGGGCTTGTGCCGCCGGCTGCTGGGTCGGAGGAGGAGAAGATCTGGGTTAGGGAGAATAGGCCTGTGAGGTTATAGGTGACTGTATGGATAAGGGTTGTACATAGTTTGTGCAGGAGTTTCAGATGCCATGATAGCCTTGCCATCCGATGACTTTGTCCTAGTTGATCTGGATGCCACCTTCTATTATTATTAATTAACTCAACTTGATCGACAGCTGCTCTTCCTGATCATGTCCATAAGTGACGCAGCAAATTTCTTAACACCTTTTATACACTGCTCTCCATACTGCCTATCACAAACTCTGAAAACGCTTTAAAAGGTCGAAACCAGCACTGAGTTATTTTCTGGAGAACGGCATCCCACGGTATCTCCCGTCTCTTGTGGCTGTTTCCCCTCAAGCATTTCGAGTTGCTCGCCAACCGACTAGTTCCAGAATTTTCCAGCTAGGCCAGGGTCAAAGCTCTCCTGCACAGTGTCTGTCAATTTTCTTCTCTTACCTTTTCCAGTGCGTGAATGTTGTTCTCGTGCAGGGTCATTCCTGGGTTGGTCTGTCTGGTGAGACGTCAGCAATGCGAACATGAAAGAGCCTTCGGACCTAACGGCATACCAAGGGCAACCCGAATGTTTCGGGCCAGAAGGCCGCTTTGCGGTCATTGATAAGAGCCGCGAAGTACAAGAAGCACTGTCGAACAGACGGCTTGGTGCTCATTGCAGCCTGGTTGTGCTGGATCGGGTCTGACACCTTGAAGGCCGTCGAGGTTGCCCTCATTACGAACCACGTTCTCTCGTACGTGGAATAAAATCCAAACCGACATCGATGGTCGTCCATATAACGTGCGAGCTGGCCTAGATCCCGTCAGCATCTCTGGGTACGGTTGGCTTAGAGAGTACAAACCCAGTTTCTGCGCCAGGTAGTCATCGTCACTCTGGCCCTTCTTTAGTTAGAACGTCCAATACGTCTTTAATTCACCAACCAGGCGAATGACATGATCGCTGGCACCCACTATGATCGCTATCGCCAACAAGTAAGGGTGTAAGTCGAACGCGGCAATCGATCTCGAACGGACGCGGATCCAGAGGATTCCAGTTTTTGACACTGGTCCTCAAGCAACACATGCACCAATAACGGGTGGCCGTGAGGGCAACGGGAGCCACCACAGGGGTTACCGCCGCCATTTCCAAAGCTTGCTGAGCTATGGAGTACTGCATGGCACCGAGCCACGCATCGTCAGCTCCCCTATGAAGCGGAGCATGGAAATCGTACACTCTCGCCTCTTTTAGAGCAATGTCTTCAAGAGTCTTCCCGCTAGTCTCGTGAGATCCCCAGTGTTTAAACAAGCCATTCACAGAGACAACACCAGATCCGTCGAAACCTTCAAGTGAAGTCATATCCAGTCCGGACACAAGCTCGCAAATCCTTTCGCGGGTAATAGTATTAGGGTCGAACCCAACACTCTGCACAGGTCGGGCTGTCTCTTGCGCCGCTCCATCGCTTCCGACCTATCAGAGGACCGGGTATCGACTTGCAGTCCGACCTAGTAGTCGGCCATAAGGAGATCGAGTCTTAACTCGTCGAAGATCAGTCCCAGCATGTTTTCCACATGCTGGACGTAACGCCCTTGTAGACCGTTTTCGTTTCCGGTCACGTGGGATTCTGCAGGGACTCGAGGCGTAAAGCCCTCGGGAGGCTCCCCCAGATGCTTTACCCTCTCTAACACGTTGCGGGGGAATTCTAACCACTGTGAGACCTGGTCCTGTCGCAGCGTGTATTTGGACCCGCTCGGCCGAGTGGTATGCCGGTTAGGAAACACGCGCAAGGTTGGCAGAGGCGACCAGAGAATATGTTTCTGGTCAATGGTGAGTCGTAGTTGGGCCACTCTGAATAGCAGCAGAAGGTGTTAGATGTAAGGGTGATAACTACAGAAGATACTTGTTCGCATGTGGCCAACAGAAGGTCTATTTAAGTCTATGGGAAGTGAATGCTGTTTGTAGCCTCTACTGTTGATTCTTCTAGAATAGGCTTATGAGGCCGAGTCCTGCTGGTGTGAATACTATCTGTCTCCATAGCTTAAAAACTGTGAATAATGACCATAGGCTGGTAGGCGGGTCAATATGAAATGTATGGCAAATTGAATTATTTTCATTCTTAGGTTTGGGGGTTTCACATGACTGCTACCTGCCTGATTGGGTAAGGGGGTTGTTGCTATATTCTCAGGACTACCCTTTAAAGAAAGACAAAGATGACGTATGTCTTATACTTACACTCCTTATTCACGGTTTGCTTTGCTGCACCTTTCAATGAAAATTTACCGTCTCAGAGCCTCTGTTCTTTGACTCTCCTCTGGATCTCTTGTCTTGGATATCTTGTCTTAAACATCTTGTCTTAAACCCTGTCTTGAACATCTTGCTTGAACAATCTCTCTGGGACATCTTGTTGTTGGACATCATCTTTTGGACGTCATCTCTTGGACATCCTTTCTTGAATATCTTCTCTTGAATATCTTCTCTTGAATCTTCTCTTGAACATCTTCTCTTGAGTACCTTCTCTCTGAGTATCTTCTATTTTCTATCCCGTCATTTACATTATCCATTGATATCTTCTATCACCATCATGACTGACTGGGACTTTGACCTCACTAATCGAGTTCGGACCATCCTTGGGAGACCCATCCTGATTGAGGAGCAACTGGCAGAGGTTCCCGATCCGAGATTTGCTGAAATGCAGGTTCTAACGCTGGCACGGTATATGGATGATAACCAAGAAATCATGCTGAAGATCCGCTATGAGTGAGTTAGCACACCTTGACCAAGCCATTTCTCCTACTGACACTACATGCTTTCTTTTAGACTGCGCCCTGAGAGCTTCGGTATCAGGGATGAGGCATACTTGCAGACAATGTGTGAGCGGGCTGACGATGACTACCTCGAAGAGGTGAAGCTGGTCGAAGACGTGGAAGAGATTGGCCACGGACCTGCATACCTCGCCCATGTCACTCAGCGCGCTGGAGAGATGTTTCCTTATCCCAACGGCACCGTGAACTTTATCATCATGACGCGGGTGCCTGGTGAGAATGTGGCTCGTATCTTCCTCACTCTCTCGAACGAGCAACTTGAAAGCATTCGGAGGCAGCTCGCCCTCACGCTTGAGTAAGTGTATCACCCGCCTATCCGAAAGGAAAGCCATGTTCTGACCAGTCCAGGCACATGCGCCAGAGAATGTTCGTTTTGGCTCATCAGAGTCCACATTTCCTTCGATACGACAGGGCGAATGACCAGCTGTAAGATCTATCCATTTCGCTTATCACGCCCATATATTGACGAACTCAGGTACATTGTTGATTTCAGCTACATGAGCTTCACGAACCCCAACGCTCCTGGTTCAAACCCAATCACCGTCGACCACATGTACGTCCTCGGATTCGATATCTGGCACCGTGGTGAATTTGAGCCTGGAAGACGAGGCGGTCTCTCCGGTAGTAGAGGGAGGCTTTGACAGCAATGCGCCCTCCCTCAGGTCTGGTAAAACATACAATCCAAGGGGATCTGGCTCATCCAAGCATCCCCAGCAGCGCATGTATTAGGACACGAGCGAGGAGAACAGACCTCCACTCCCACGCTGAGCTGTGGGGTCGACAGATTGCTCATTCACTGCTGCGTCGAATCTTTTATGCACTTCGCAAAGTCAAAAAAGCTTTTTGCGAGGAAGATTGCGAACGTATGGATTCGGTGGGCCTGACTAGATGACCATAGTGCAGAAGGCAAAGGATTTGCTATCAATACCCCGTTTTCTGTATTCGATTCTTAGACTGTTCATGCATTCTCCTTTTCTTGTTGTTGTGTATAGACCTTGAGATTGCTTTGTTATTTCCCGCTTCTATTCAGCTTCATATCAGCATGCAAATCTAATCATCAGGTTGATAAATTAGGCGTCACTCTGCTTGAACTGCTTGTCTCTACGTAGCAAAGTTGACACCAGGAGTTGTGTAGTATTGAGGACCGGCATATCAATTAGCCTTGTGAGCTCGATAGTGAAAAAAGAAAACATCAAAACAGTAATCTAGTGAATATCGCAAATAGGACAACAAGATCTCCCATCTGAACCTCATTTACATATCTAAAGCACATCCCAGCTAGCATCCTGAGGCATATCCTTGACCGGTTTGTACAAATAATCCACCGTAATTCTCAGCCTTGATGATATCTGCAGCCCGCTCCGCAACAGCGTACAGGGTACTCATCAAGTGACCGCAAACCTGAAACGGGAGGACAGAAGCGTCGACAACACGGACGTTCGCAGTACCGTAGACCATGAGATTAGTATCCACGACACCTCCCATGTCCCGGGGCATCATGGCTGCGGTACCGACGAGGTGGAAGTTGGCGCGAGCTAGAGCGGAAATTAGGATGTGCATTGTCCATAGTTCATAGCAGGAAAGGATGACTTACATGCAGAGTTGATCCAGGAAGCCCACCGGGCGTCGGTGGCGTCAGAGGGAAGAGTGGTGTATCCCGGTGTCGATTCGCCAGTGGTGTGTTCGCTCATGGGAGCAGTGTTGAAGAGCTTGCGGATGAATTTGCCCGAGCCGATCTGCTGCTGCATGTCCCATCCCAGCATCATGTAGTCGGGGTTGATGGTGGGCTGCTGTAGGGGGTCGATAGAGGCGATATGGACGTTACCACGCGCAAAGGGGAGCAAGCCCCAGTACTCGGTGTAGAAGCTGGTGCCCTTGGGGGTAACGAGCACCTCGGCGATAGGGGTAGGGTTCTCGAAAATGATGTCGTACTGGATCTTGAAGAGGGAGAGCAAGTTGGCAGCGCTCATGGTGCCATTGCTGGCGGCGGAAACCTGGGCAGCGTAGTTTGCAAGGTTGTTCTTGACGTCGTTGGCGACATTGGTCGTATTGCTGCCGAAGATGTCAGAGGCGGTTGGGTGACTGAGATAGGTTCCCTGGCCGGTGTAGGAAACGTTGCTGGCGTAGATGAACTCGGTGTTGATCTGGTCTTGAAGATTCTCGCCGACTGTGGTCAGGTTGACGACGAGAGGGATGCTATGTTGAGCAAGGACCTCTGGGTTACCAACACCGGAGCGCTCCAGAATGGCAGGGGAGATCAGTGAACCAGCAGAGGGGATTACCTCCCTGTTCGCCGTAATGGTCTCTATAGTGCCGTCGCTGAGAGTGACCTCAACACCGCTGGCAACAGCGGGTCCGAAAGTGCCGGTCTGATTGGCCCAAAGGATGCGGTTTCCAGTGGTGTTGAGCATGACCGAGAGGTTAGGTCTGGATGCGAAGGGGTAATAGTAGGCGCGAGCTGCATCCTCTCGGACGTTTTCAGCACGGTTCACAGTCCGAGCAAACATGGAGTAGCCATGCATCTTGCCTCCGTTGACATCTGGAAGATAGGGGATGCCCAGGTGCTCGTATGTGCTCTTCAGCTCCATGTGCACGGTACTGTTTTGAATATCCCATGTCCATCCCACACGCAGTGGGCCAGACTTTCCATGGTACAATGCGTTGTAATTAGCACCAGCGCTGTACTGGGCCGGGGTAGGGACCTGAAAGTCCTCGCCCTTCTTGTAATAAGGGACGAGGCTCTCCCAGGTCCAGCCCTGATTACCGATCCACTGCCAGGCATCAATCTGTATATCCTCGGCGCGGGTATACGACATGCCGTTGATGGTGGTAGTCCCACCTAAAGCCTTGCCTGCCCGCAGCGTCTCGACCTTGTTGCCCATGTACGTCTGCGGGGCAGACTGGTAGGCATAGTCGATTGCTGACCCGAAGGCCGCACCATACGCGCTTGTATTATAGACCAGGGGATTCTGGAGGACGGAACCACCCCTTTCAATGATCAAAACTGAGAGTCGCATGTCTTCCGATAATCTGTTTGCCATCACTAGCCCACATGCACCACCTCCCACGATGATGTAGTCGTATGAGGTGGCGGAGGCCGCCAACACAAGAGAGAAGAAATGAATTCTAGCCAACATGGCTAAGAGGAAATAGATCTTCGCCGACATAGTGAGCATGGAAGATAAGACTGAATTGACTGAGAGAGAGAGAAAGAGAGAGAGTGTGAGTGAGTGAGTGTGTGTGTGTGTGTGTGTGTGTGTGTGTGTGTGTGTGTGWGAGAGAGAGAGAGAGAGAGAGAGRTGTAGAGAGAGAGATGAGAATGAAAGATGTCCATCTTATATACTTGACTGCCGGCATAGATATTCGCTGTAAATGGATAATTCCAATTGAGAAGAACCTTCTAGGATAGTGTTTGTGAATCAAACTGATTCCCCTGAGACAAAAGTTCATGATTAACCGGAAGAACCCATGTAGATTCTGTGCTGTGAGACAAAAGTGAATGGTTAACCGGAAGAACCCATGTAGATTCTGTGCTGTGAGACAAAAGTGAATGGTTAACCGGAAGAACCCATGTACATTCAGTGATGTGTTTAATTGAATTCACTGTGCACATTCTGATTCTTGCCTCTGGATGGATCCCAACTCCCTTCCTGCCTTCACTTAGATAATCATGTCTCTGACAAGATACGGAACACCAAGTAGGACTCGAAATACCTTCCTGACGACGTTGAGGCAGCTGTACATAAGACGGCCGACGTTGAGTCTCTTCTGAAACGATAGAGCTTGGCTCATTGCTAACCTTCTTGAGCGTTGGTAACTATGCTATCCCGTTGAGCTCTATTGTCTTCCAAAGTCGAAGTACTCGCGTGCTGGGGGCGGATAGACACAAAGAATTGTGCTATAGTCACGCGCTGGCCATAGTGATTCGTATGTTGGGGGGAAGATGGCTGCTGATACGGCGCAAGGGAAGAATTTGATTGGGGATATCTGGCAGCCTGACGGATTTGTGTCGACTTGGTATTCTTGGATACGCTTCCTGCGCGAGAATCCATCAATGAGATGGTGATCGAGAGGGACTTCGCTGCCTTTGACGAGAATGCTGAAACCATCCTGGCAGCGATTCAGAAGAGTTGCCAATACGATCGTAATCCAACGCTATCCGGAATATCCTGAAGCCAACCATTCTGGCATCTGCACGGTGCACGTCGTGTCCAACAATGAGGGGAAGTGAGGACTCTGCAATCTTGCAAACCGGCGCACTGCATTGGTCATATCATCGAAGCTATCATCAAGAGCAACAAATATGTATTCTAATATTGACAGCATAATCTACTCAGATAAATATGTTTGGGATGCAACTTTCCGGCAGACTATCGCCTGTGCTTCGTGCTGAAGGTTTCATGACTGATTTCAGATAGAGACCAGCGTCTTGCCAATGCTTCTCACTTGTTCTAGATTCAGGAAATATGAGTGACGGCCAGAAATACGATGTCCGAAATTTGTGGGATGCGCAATGTAGTCGAACAGAGGCTTGTAGTTCACTGCAGCAGGGTGGCGGAGTTTCGGGATTAAGCACCTAAGTCCGTCCTCCACGGTCTCCAATTCTCTTCGACTAAATCCATCTTTTGCTCGATCTTTTTCCATTAATCATTGGATCAACCTCGTTCCTTCCTCTGAAACCCAACCCAACTATTAGATTCCCAACCGACCATCTTGAGCGCCGTGGTGATACACACGAAATGGATGACCCCAAAGAGCGGAGAAAAATCCAGAACCGCCTCAACCAGCGTGCCAGCCGTACGTAACACGAAGGATGGAAATCAAGGAGGCGAGCTGACTCATAAAACCCCGTAGGAAGGAGGAAAGCTATACTATCTTCCCACGGTCCCGGGTCTTCAACTCGAAAGTGGACGGTTTACGTCGCCCGGGCGCAGGAAACAGCGACATCCCTAAGACCGAACCACAATCCCACCCAGGGAGAGAACGACGCAGCTACAGTTCATTTCTGCTACCTCAGCTTAGAAACACGCCAGGTCATTTTGAATCTATTACATGACCGCGTCAACAGAGGCATCATCACCCACACACTCTCCTCCGAATTACTCCTCCCAGTCACGCAGTGGAACATCATCCGCGCCATGATCACCAACGCCACTACAATTGGTCTAACCATGGCACTCTTAGCAGGAGATATCATCTCCCCGTTCAATACCCGTGGACCAGTAACAGCAAATCTACCACCCAGTTTACAACCAACGTATCTACAGAAATCCGTCGTCCATCATCCCTGGATCGACCTATGTGCCATTTCCTCAGTCCGGGACGCTCTTCTGCGCAATCTGCATCTCTACTCGGAGGATGAACTTTGCGATGATCTCTTTGGTAAATCCAGTGATTGTACCCAGCCGACCGGACTTTTAATCTGGGGTGAGGCGTGGGATCCGTCTGGATATGAGATATCTGAAAAGATGTTTCGGAAATGGGCGTGGCTATGGAGGGAATGTCCTGAGGTGATTCGGTCTACGAATTACTGGAGGTTGCAGCGTGGAGAGAAGACCCTTGTCATTTCTGATTAACCTACGACGATGAGAGCGACATCTTCATCAATGAAGCACATCTTCCCCACACGGTGATTCTTAAACAGCAAATGGCTCGTGAAGCATCTGCTCACTAAGTTCCCACAGCTTCACCTGATTGTCGTGATTGCGAGTGTGGCTATTCAACTCGTCGTTGGCAACGGCGTTGTTGTGGAGGAAGGCCCCGTTATGTCCTAGCGATGTAAGAACTCAGTACGCGGTACATGGGAAAGTCTGCGAACCTTGGATGGTAGGGTCAATCATGCCCGTGATAATAGTCGCGGCGCCTTCAGACTTTGTGGTCCACGGGGGCATTTCGATCGGCCTACCGTCAAGGTCGACCAGGCCTGTTTGAGTGTGTCAGCGCTGTTCAGATATCAGAAGGCCACAGGCCGAAAACCTACCTCCAGAAGCCATAGCCCCCGCAACCATTGCTTGGAATTCTGGCGTGAAATGGCGTTGCAGGCCGGACTGGACAGCTAGCTGCAGGTCAGTTCCTAGGTATTCGCCTCCTATGGATAGGGAACTCCACGTACCACCAGGATCAATGCTAAAGACTCGAATTCCCTGATCTCCCAATTTCTCCGCCAGCGCCTTCACAAACAGCACCCGGGCAGCGTTGGATTGGTTATATGCCACCAGAGGATCATACGTTTTGCCTTCCTATCAGGAATAATTAGATTGGCACCATAAAGGGAAGAGTGGAGAAACATACACTAAAGCCAACATCCTCAAAATGAACCTTCCCACTCCTGGCTGCACTACTTGCAACAATAATGATGGACGATCCAGCTCCGGCAGCCCTTACCTTCGGAAGAAGCAACTTAACCAACAGAAAGTTGGCCAAATAGTTCACCCCGAACTGCGTCTCGAATCCATCCTTGGTAGTTCCATACGGAGTAGCCATGACACCCGCAACACAAGCGAGATGGTCGATCTTCGGGATATCGTGAAGGGTCTCAACCGCCTTTCTAATACTGCTCATGTCTCCCAGATCCATTTTGAGGAATCTGGTATTGACACTGGGGGCTATGGATTTGATTTTCTCGATGACGGGGGTGACTCTTTCCTCGGCTCGAGCGCTGAGGATGAGGAGATGGGGGGCTGCAGCGCTTAGTTGGATGGCCAGTTCGCCGGCAATAGAGTCGCCGGATACGCCGGTTATCAGGACTGAGGATTGTTAGAAGGTGATATCGATAGCTACAGGAGGGGGCGCATACTTGTCTTGCCGGCTAAGGAGCTACCATATCGGTGGATGATGGTCTCCGAGGGCAGGATCTGCTGGGAAGACATGTTGTCCTTGAGATACAGTTATTGATGCTTGAGAAGTATTGAGAGGATGTTAATTTGAAAGAAAGAAAGCAAAACCAGAGCCAGCTTTTGCTGCTTTATATCTTCGAGCGACTCTGACGTGATGCACCTTGTTCTCAAAGTATCAAATGCCTGCTATGACAGATGTGGTTAGTTTCATGTCATCATTGCAGGATCCACTTTTTCTCTCCTCTCTTATTGGACGACCGTCAAAATAAAATTAGCCGTTACCCGGTGGATCCACTGCTGGATTAGAAATAGCTTATTCCTGGCACTCGTGTTCCGCGTTTGTTTGTACTGCTGAACAGCTCAATGAAGCTTGATGAAGATACAATGTCTACTTTCAGCTTCAGTGACCAAAGCCTAGATAATAATCTCGTTGGATCGATATCCTCTCTTCTGAATGCTGCTGGCGTCCCTAATTTACTCTGGGGGAACTATCTACTGACCGTCTATGGAGTCCCCACCGTTGTTGACGTTAGTGTTGTCTCCCTGTACGTGTTATCGATTGAGCGACTTCTAATCCTGGCCAGGGCGTCTCTTTTGTTGTACCCGATGCACTTATCGAAACCGGCTTCTCTACTCTCTCCCATGCGGGGTTTCTCTCATGCACACAAGGTCCAAAATGCCCATGCCTGAACATGGCCCAATGTTTGTCGACTGCTACACACCTGCATATCAATGACGAGCTTGTGGTATCGCTGTATAGGAAGTCCGACATGCTTTGGGATTTTCCTGAATTTGATATTGATGCCAACAGTGCAGATATCATGTCGGCATCTGACACTAGACTTCCCCCAGCAAGGCTCGGGCGCGGCCATGGGCGCTTTCCCCCATACCTTTCTGCCGTCCGAATCCCAAGCGCCGTCCGGTATTGCGAAGCTATGATTCTTCTGCTTTGTCGAGACCACGACAGCCCCCGTGAGCCCTATTGGATGGCAATCTTAACCTACTTGCTGGAATACGTCGATGAAACGGATATCTTCCAAGAGAAATGGTTGAGGGAGCGGTATAGACAGTTCTATAGGGCCATGAAACAAGGGGATCCGAAAATGTATCTACACCTGAAGATGCTTCGCGATGGCTTCATCAAAAGCAGTGTATAAATTCAAGCAAGCTCTTTCTTCTCATAAAACAGTTCCTCTGAAGCCAACAAACCTCGTCACTCGCGTCAAAGCTCGATGGTCTTCTCGCTATCAAACCCGATTGACTGGGAGAAGGAGTATCCTCTCTGGTTTGATAGCACTCTTTTGCCGGTCCTATAGGAATTTGCGCGTGATCCGGCGAATGCGATGATATATGAATAGGCAGTAATATCCCGATTTTAACCCGAGGTTTGGTGTACGGAACTGAGTTGTTATATGACATAGATAACTGTATGTATTACCTTGATGATAGTGAATCAGAACAGGAGTAAAGCTGATATATAAATAGAGAATATCAGAGAATGGGAGCATTTCGAGGAGTTAGATTGGCGGGACGTTCCTGCCTATCCGATGGCAGTGTTCGGGAACGCTCTCTATGCTTGGACACAGGCTTTCTTAACATTAAGGAATATCCCCCTGGATGGAAAGATCATATATGAGCAGGATTGAAGATATTCAAACCTTGGATGATGCGGATGAAGGATATAAAAGAGATTCTTTCATAGCTCGCTGGAAAGCTATCAGAAGGAGAGAACACTAAGAGATGATTATCTGCAGTGTGGATGGAAGCCAGATTCTGCTGCTGCCGATCGACCATAGAAAGGGGAGCCGATTGATATGGAAGAAGTGCGAAAACTTGCCTCTAGCGAGTTTAGATCTGACGAATTTCAGGCACGCAGGGTGGAGTGGCTTGTTACACTGGCGCTTAGTGATGAAGAATAGGTTGGAAGCTGTGTCTGCCACATCCTATGTTCCTGCAAGAACTCCATTGACAGGGAGGTCATCCATCATCGAGTGCGAATGATTGGTCTTGTCCACCGCGCGGCAGGCATGTGGCGTCAACGCGGTAACTCTACACGCGCTCGAACCAAGCGGGGCGAGGCTGAGGAGGCTCCATCTGTTCAGCCGGGCCAACGACGTCCTACAGACTTCCTAGTCTGGGATCGTTCCATCATACTCAGAATTCGAGACAGACGATTGAGTAATGCATGGTGCAGACACAAATGGCCGCCGTACCAACACCGTTACTCAGGCCGCACGATTATACAGTGGCATGGATCTGCGCCCTTGCCATAGAAATGGCAGCCGCCGAGGCAATGCTGGATGAGAGACATCCTGCCTTACCCACCGTCCCCGGCGACGACAATACTTACGTCGCAGGGAGGGTGGGCTCCCATAATGTCATTATCGCGTGCCTTCCAGCTGGGGTTTACGGGACGACTTCTGCTGCCAACGTAGCGTCTCAAATGCGGCTCACATTCAAGGGCATTCGGTTCGGACTGATGGTGGGAATTGCAGGGGGAGTCCCTAGCGCAAACCATGATATTCGGCTCGGTGATGTCGTAGTCAGCAAACCAACGCGGGATTCCGGGGGAGTGATCCAATACGACTATGGCAAGGCCGTGAGCGGCGGCCACTTGGAACGGACGGGTGTTTTGAACAAGCCTCCAACAATGCTCCTGACAGCCGTGACGGCGCTACAGTCAGCACACATCGCGAATAAAAGTCGTATTCCTGATCTAATTGCAGACTTGGCGGAGCGGCATCCCCGTATGAGGGAGAAGTTCACGTATGACAGTCACAGAGAAGACTTGTTGTTTGAGGCCCAATACGATCATACCGACTCTGAGACAACCTGCGATGGCTGTGATAGACACCGGCTAGTTACCCGAGCGCCGAGAGATAGAAGCGATCCTGTTATCCACTACGGTCTGATCGCATCCGGCAACCAGGTCATCAAGAATTCTCGGACCAGAGATCGACTAGCCCAGGAACTGGGGATCCTGTGCTTTGAAATGGAGGCGGCCGGCCTGGTGGACACGTTCCCATGCCTAGTTATTCGAGGCATCTGTGACTATGCCGATTCTCATAAGAATAAACAATGGCAAGAGTATGCAGCTGCGACGGCAGCAGGATACACAAAGGAGCTTCTCTCCATGGTCCATGCCGTTCACGTTGCAGATACACCTTCGGCTCTGTCGGTCACCGACGGTATGTGAGCTATGCACAACAGATTGTGAACTTGTCGGTTCTGACTAAAAGAATGCCAGTCGTTCATAGCAGCAAGGCCCTTGCCAAACCGCGAGGTTCATCAACTTGGTTGACTTCGCGAAATGGTGAGTTGGCAGGATCCAGTGCTTTCTGCATGTCACAGATACTCATTCATTGCAGGTGACCTCGACGAGACGTTATTCAGGCGCATTTCAGCCTACGAACATGAAAAGGTCCACCGGCGACTTGCTCACAAACGAGTCATGGGGACAGCGCAGTGGTTCCTGGATCATACAGATTTCAAGGCATGGCTGGTGGAGAGGAAATTCTCGAGACTGTGGTGCTCCGGGAAAAGTGAGCGTGCCCCTGGGAGCTCCTTGACGGCGATCAACACTAATCATTACTCTTGTTTAGTTGGCTCTGGTAAAACGATGATAGCGTCAGCATCCCTTCGCTCTTTCTCTTGTGATAAATAGACTAATCGTATCATAGGACGGCGGCCATCGATGCAGCCAAATATCGATCGTCGGAACACTCTGCTTCCACGGTATTTTTCTATTGTGAGAGCGACCGACCGGACGAGCTCAATGGGTCCTACATCCTCTCCAGTCTGATAAAACAACTATGCGAGTATCTCCGTGCGAAGAACAGAGGCTGCCCCGGCGATGTGGCAGATGCACTGAACCGCTTTTTCGGGAAGAAGCGAGTGGTTCCGGACTTCGATGATTTGAAGGACGTTTTCATCCGGTTATTCCACCTCATCCCAGACACGGTGTATATCATTGACGGCCTCGATGCATTGAACCCAGACCAAAGTAAAGGCCTGTTTGAGTTGTTCAGGTCCCTGTTCTGCGGTTCTGGATCCCCACCGGAGTCACGAATACTCGTTTTCAGCCGAGAACAACTGCCTGGCTACACAGGCATCCCCCTGTTCATGGCTGGCGTTCATCAAATTTCGACTACATCTAACGTGATGCCGGATCTTCACACCTACATCGATACGAGTGTCACCGATAAATTGATGAGCCGGAAGCTCACGGACAATTTGGCCTTGTTGGATGAGGTCAAGCGGGTCCTCCTGGAAGAATCATCAGGAATGTATGAAGCAAACCTTCCTCTGCTTCCTCTATATAACTGAAGGCTAATGGATCAGGTTTCTTTGGGTCTATCTGCAGTTGGAGATTCTGTGGCAAGACTGTTTCACGGACAATCATATCCTATCAGCGTTGCGAGATCTTCCGACAGATCTGGAGGAGACATACCGTCGCTGCGTTCGAAGAATCCACTTTACGAATCCCTATGCGTTGCGAGTCCTCCAGTGGGTGAGCTTTGCCGCGAGACCACTCTGTATCGACGAGTTAAAAGAGGCCGTGGCCTTTGAGCTGCAGGACGTGGTATGGGACGCCGGAAAGATCCCCCAAGCGGATGTGGTGATCGGGTGCTGTGCAAATCTCGTAGCCTTCGATCCTTCTGATTACTGTGTTCGTTTTGCGCATTCTTCCGTCAAGGCGTACCTGCAGAAGGATTTGGCAAGCTTTATCCCAGGGTACCCGAAATCGGATAGGCAAGGCGAGCTTCAGTGCGGAGAATTCTGTATTGCGTATCTGGCCTTCTCCAACTTCAACCTCCAACTGGCGAAGCCAGCCGACGAGACAGTGGTGGCAAAAGTCCCGGATCCCAAGCTGCTCGCCGGTGGTGCATTGACGTCTCCGTTGGCTAGATTATTCCTGGGATGGGGAGCAGATCCCAAACGTCGCACACAATTACAATTTCGACAGATCCGATCAGCCACTCTTCCAGATCGTTCACAATACAAATTCCTGGACTATGCAGCCACCCACTGGACCTTGCAAACCAAGGAGATCACTTCCCGATCTACAGTCTGGGAGAGATTCAAGCACCTCCCGTTATGTTTCAACGAAACATGGAATTTCCACCCTTGGGTGGTCGGTGGTCGCTCACAATTCTCGCGCCTACATGGCCTCTTCGGCTGGGCCGTCAAGGAAGGACACATTCCGCTGTTGGAGATGGCGCTCACTTCCGACCGACACATACGGGAGGTCTGTAACCTCCCATTGATCGATGAGCACCTTCCTGCGCTTCATGTCGCATCCAAATTTGGGCTCGCCGATGTCGTAAAGCTCCTACTGCCCATATGCCAATTGAACTTGCAGGACGAAGAGGGGTATACTGCTTTACACCATGCAGCCGGTAAGGGGCATGGAGATGTTGTTGCCGTCCTTCTAACCTCAGGCAGCACGGAAGTGGATCTTCCCTCCAAGTTCCAGGTTACACCACTCTGGCTGGCTGCCAGTCATGGCCATGGACACGTCCTGCGCATCCTGGCAGAGAAGCAAGCGAACCTCGAGGCCAGAGGTAATTTAACACGACAGACGCCGCTCTCACAGGCTGCTAGTAACGGCCATTATGATGTAGTCGACCTTCTCGTGAACATGGGAGCGAAGCTAGAGTCAAGGGACGCTGAGGGTCGAACGCCGTTATCCTGGGCCGTCACAAATGGCCATCTCCACACGGTCGGGCTGTTACTTGAGAAAGGCGCTAACCCTGATTGTAAAGATACAAGCAAGGAAAAATTGTTGTTATGGGCGGCGCAGGCTGGACATGATGTGATCACAGGCTTGCTGGCTGCAAATCCCCTGACGAACCTCAACGCTACCGACTCCGAGGGACTAACGCCGTTATTGTGGACTGTCCGGAATCAACACTTCTTGACCGCGGAGATTCTTCTCCAGCGAGGGGCAATTCGGGAGGTCCGAGATGCTGAGGGCCAGACGCCTCTACTGTGGGCAGCAAGGAATAGGCACGAGGAACTGACTAGATCACTGGTCGCGAAAGGTGCGGTTATTGATTCCAAAGATAAGTACGAAAGAACAGCGTTTTTCTGGGCCGTGGAGAATAGCCACGAAGAAATGGTCAAGTTACTGCTAGACTGGAGTGGAGACCATGTGCGAAAGGAAAAGTTCATCGACAGTATTCTCTCATGGGCCGCACGAACACCGACTGGTAATACGGTCAATTTATTCCTAGGCAAAGATGGAGACCCCAAGGATGTGGCTCCACCAACACCGACGTCGTTACTGTGGGCTGTCAAGAAAAGCTACGTGGGGCTAGCTCAGCTCTTCATAGAGCGCGACACCGCTGTCGATCGGGAAGACCTTTTCAGACAGGGAGCTATCATGTGGTCCACAGGGCATGGACAAGAGCTCTTACTGCAGCTGCTCCTTGGAAAGAGTGAAGATGTCCAATCCACCGACCCGGCCGCCCTACTTGACCTGCTGGCCGAAACGAGCAAAGACCCGCAACCCAGGCATCAGTCATACCGGTCCCTCCTATGGGCTGCAAAGCATGGTCATGCGTATGCGGCCAAGCTGCTACTCGAAAATGGCGCAGATATCGATGCCAACGATTCCCTTGGTTATACAGCACTTCTGCGGGCCGCACGGGAAGGGAATATCAAGATCGCCCAGCTGCTGGTTGACCAGGGTGCTAATATCCACGCGAGAACTGTTTACGGGGAGACACCACTATGGTGGGCTGCACGAAACGGGCATGACACGCTCGTGGTACTTTTGCTCAACATAGGTGCAGATTTCGAATCCAAGGATAAGTTTGGCCTTACACCATTAGCTTGGGCGGTTGAGAACCGGCACAGGCGGGTGGTCCGCGCATTGGTTGACAGGGGCGCAAACATTTGGGCTTCCGACAAGTCTGGCCAGACACCACACTCAAGGTCTGGTGCCACGAAAATGCGAGCTCTGCTACTTGAAGGTGAACGCGAGTGAACGATGGAAGACATTCCCAGACTTTACTAAAGATTATGACCCCAAGGTGTCTGCCGCCTAACGGGCAGCCGTGCAGCATGTACGGAGTACGGAGTACCGAGGTGAGGGAAATCGACTGCTAGTCGCATCCGTGGAGGTCGCGATCGCTGGGAGAAAGCTAACCAGACTCAACCAGATCATTGTCAAACTACAACGCAGGCCAAAGGCCGATCGCTACCGCAACACGCGAACCAGACCCATAAGTAGCGCAAGTAGCGCAGTGGATAGACTACTTACACACAGTCCCATTCTAGTCTTACCCTGTTACATCCTCCTACGAGAGGCGAATGTCTCTAAGTCCCGGATGGGCCAGGGAAACAAAAACCATGTCATTTCTGAAGAAAGCAATATAACTCTCACCAGCGTCCTCAGAATCCGAGAATAAGCAGCTCGTGGTTTGCGAGTTATGTATCCAGGTTTTGAGAAATGACTGAGGCCGTGTAATTGAGGCGGTCTTCGTGGCAGACTCATAGCAGGGCAACTGAGTGAACAACCACTCAATCAGAGACATAAGAGACAAAAGAAAAGGGAAAAAAACATACGACAGCCGGGATTCGCTGGTGGTCACCCACCCAACTACTAACCGGCCGGCGTGTGGCTTAAGTACGGCTGAGCGGACGGGAAGCCCTGTTTTCCACACCCTATGGTCGTATGTGCTAGACAGTAGATAAAATATGGGAGATATGGTGTGAAAAACAAGGATTTTTTGTGTATAAATTGTCTGTCCCCCGCACAGTGGAGATAGTCATCTTTCTGGTCCAGGCTTCTGTGCTGACGGTTTACCATATTTGGTAAATGGTAATCATAGCATTGTCTGATGGTAACTTTGTATAACTTGGACCTTGCAATTCTCTTCCCTGGGCATATGAAAAGTCTCTTCAATCTCTATGCGGGCAATTGAGCCTAGTCACTGTGACTCCTCAATCAATTCCAGCAGACAATCAGCCGCTTCATCTGTACCAATGGCGCTCCCACTGTATATTCCGCGTTGCATTCACACTCCCGCCAGCCAGTGTCACCTCCCACCGCCTGACAAGCCGCTCAGAATCCAAATTGAAGGTCCCTTGATCGCCATACAAAGGCTTCTGCCACATATCCCATGGCGTCTGGATCCTCTAGACCGAACATTCCCACAACCAGCAGGCCCAGAGCTAGCACGGTTGACGTATCAAAAAGTATACGGACGCGATATTTCTCCAGAAGTCCCAGGCGATCTGGTGGTGCGGGATGAGTACTTGGGCTGGATGCCAGAGAAGCGTCCGCAGGAGTAAGTATATATTAATCTCCACCCATGGAGGCAGCCGGTTCCGATACCCCTGTGGCTAATCACTGACTAGGTTGATTGACTATTACGGTGTAACATTTGACCATCTTGTTCCACCTGATGATACCAACCCCGAGGTGTTACAGATTAACATTATTGAGATTGAGGATGACAATGGTGTTTATGCAACTACGTGGCTTTTATTTGCAGTCGATCCGGCAGATTTTATCGGGAAGAAAGTCTTAGCAGTGCCAAGGTGTTGCCAGAAGAGAAAGGGAACTCAGGATCGTTGGCGAGTAAATGCACTTGTGGACCAGAGGGTTCATGGGTGCGAACGATTAAAGAGCGCTGAAGAATTAAAAAATTAGAAAGGTAGACTGCATATCATTCTACTACGCTAGAAATGGCAGTCTAGAGACACCTGTTTAGTTGAGTGGTCTATAGTCGACAAATTACTGGGAGCTCTCCTTGAACTCGCTAAACCCCAGAATCCCAATAACAGGATCTTGTATTATATTTCACTCCTCCTCTCCTTGACTTGCTAAGATGTTGACATTAATCTCCGGCTCATGTGTCTGCTGTAGCACCTAAAGCGATCTGGGGAATTGAGGCGCTATGAGCCAGTGGGTATCTATATACGCAATTTCTTGAAAAGTAATTAGTAGCTATAAATAACGCCCAGTTATCTGGCAACATAGCCTGTAATAAGATAAATAGATGATGTGTGCAATGAGCATATCTTATCAGAAAGGGATCTTGCATGCTGCAGAACCACTGGCGTGCACGTGTTCCCGCATCTATCATCCGCAGGATGTTTTCCCAAAACAACCTGCCTTGATTCCTTCATTCCTCAAAACTGTCAGATCCTTCACTTCGATGGATTCCTCCGCAGATGGCCCATTTTGGGGGCCCCAGACATCCTATCTCAAGTACGTTTTTATCGGTATTGAATTCCTGCATTCTCTGAACTGACATGCTTTAGCTTTTGTGAAGAGGTACGCCCGGAGCATCCCGCGTCTGCCTTGCTTAGCTCCACATCCAAACACTAACCCTTGACCTGTTCCCAAATAAAGGACTATGTAATAACTCGATACATTGCTGAATTTATAAACACATTCAGCAGCTTGATATACAGTACGTTCAAGAAGCATCCGGAGAATCCGTAAACATTGTATCATGTCCCACTAATAACCTCGCCAAGTCATCTACGGAGTCTACGGTCTGGTGAAGCTCTACCAAAAGCGACATGCCACCCTTAGCCGCTCAGTTCCCTACTTTGGTCTGATGGGCGTGGGCGCCTGCTCGGCCGGCTACCATATGACCCTGAAATATCACACCCAAATGTGTATGCACCCCTGCCTGACATCGCTGCCGGCACGGTTGAGCTTACGCAGAATTCCGTCTGTTTCCAGCGGATGAACTATCAATGCATCTACTTGTCACGCCTCTTCTCTACCGGATCTTTACTTTCCAGACTAGCCTCCAGCACACCAGGCTCATAGGCATCCTCTTCCTCACTGAGTTCACTGTTGTGATGGTGGTTCACATGGTCATGAATGAGTTCCTTCTCCATGCCGTGACCTTCGGGTTGGGGGTCCTTTTGATCGCGACACAGACAATCAAACTGGTCTCCCAGCGGGTCCCGCATCCTTTCACTCGGAAGAAGCTTCGGAACATCGGCCTCTTTGGCGTCTGTATGTTTTTACTTCCTCCTGCATCGGAAGCAACCCCCGATCAACAAATCTGACAATGATCCAGGTAGCTTCGTTTTCGGTTACATGGTCTGGCTGATTGATGAGTGGGCTTGCAATCCCCTGATTCGCATCAGACACTCGGTCGGCTTGCCCTTGGCGTTTGTGTTCGAACTGCATGGATGGTAGGTTTCGTCCCTAATATCCTTTCTCCGTGGGATTCTAGATCTAGAAGCATGAGACGCTGATGTGACAAATCAATCCAGGTGGCATGTCTTCACCGCAATTGGTGGCTATATCGCGGTGGAGGTTGTGGACATGATCACATCGGGTGAGGTTCACGAGGATCCCACGGATCAGTTTGCCTGGCCCATTGCCGATGTGGCAAGATTTATAGGGGGAGCACCAGGGACCAAGAAATTGAGTTGACAACAGACGTTTGATGGATGAGTAGTTGCTGCTGATTTAAGCTCCATGTGCTATGCCATAGCACTCGCTCCCAGAGCGAACATTACTCATATTTTCGTCAAGGACTAAGCCACGACCTTCGAATCCATACTTCCTCATGACAGGAATCGGAAATATGATACATGATACTCAAAGTTCAGCCAGTTACGAAAAAATACAATGGCCCCTTGCTTGGGAGATCTTTTCTTTAGCAGAGAGGCAGGTTTCTGGATGAAAGGTTCGATAGCCTGCCTTCATACATTTAGAGGTCCTCTGCTTAGCCCAAGAAAAGGTGAAATTAGACAACTGCAATTTATTTCGCAAGTCCTCACACCTCTTTCTAAGAAGTGGCCGCTTGAATAATACGATCATCAAGTGCATCTAGGAAAACGGATAGAGAGAACAAAGGACGTGAGGTGTTGACATATTTGATAGGGCCAATATGATTCATGATCAGCAACTTGATTAGAATAAAGTGTAGCGGAATAACTCAACTAGTATGAGTACGTAGTAATTTTAGATGTAAACTATAGATGAGATTATTTACGAGAGACTGTGACAGAGATGTCGATGGCGTTCTTGATGCTAGTAGATGTGAACAAGGCCAGGGTACGCTTGTCGAGTACGTACTGCAGCAAGCTGCCGTCAGGCGAAACCTGGACTTTATAGCCGTTGGGGAACGTGGAGGGGGGCAGGATAATTTCAGTGGGTGCTTTAATATTTGGATCAGACCTGAACTGCAGCTTGAAGGTGGCCGAGCTCTCATCAAGGCTGAAGCTGTTGGGAGTGCCAGCGACGGCCGCGGGGTATGCACGGCTGTAGTGCTTTGCCAGTTCAGGGTGAGGCTGGCCAGATGTGCCGTTGTACAGATTCTCGTACGCCCAGCCGATCCAGGAAACCATATTTGCGTCCGTCGCCGACATGGCATCTGCTAGGCCCTGCATCTGCTTATCATCGCCCATCCAGAACGTGAGTTCAGTCAGCACACCGGCGGTCCTAAGGCGCTCGTTGTCCTTGCGGCGGTTGCTGAGCGTGGTGGAAATAGACGACAGCTGCGGCGGGTTGTAGTAGTGGAATGAGTGCACCGACTTCGAGCCGTCCCCAAGAGGGACGTTGTTGAAACCCGACAAGATGTCGATGGTGGCGCCTTCGAACCAGATGAGCGTGTCATTGTCGACGGTACGGATCTGCTTCGTGGCGCGGTTCCAGAGCCCTTCTAGGACCTTGTGGTCGGCAACACCTGGCACTAGCAGGGTCGGATCAGCCACCGAGTCGCCCACCCACGGCTCATTCAGCAGGTTATACCCGACCACATTGGTCGTCTCGACATACTCGGACGCCAGCCTTTTCCAGTACGCCGCGAACGCATCGCCCAGCCTGTCGTAGTTGTTGTATAGCCGCCCAAACGCATTGCATATCGCCACCGACGTGTAGCTCAGAGCCCAGTCGACGGTGCCGCAAAGCGACTGCGGCGAGGGGAACCCGCTTTCATCCACAGGGAACGGCGTCAGCTTGAGAGGAAAGGGATACATCTTCCAGCTTGGTACCCAGTCCTTCTTAACAAACCACTACGAAGCCGTGTCAGTATCAGCTGTGCCAACATGGCCCTGCATCCACTTACGTCAGGTACGCCGTGGCCACAAAGCTGCCGCGCCAGGCAGTCCTGATGCACGTCCACCAAAACATAGAGGCCATGGTCCTCAGCCATCTTGGTCTGCTTCTTCATGATATCCAGAAATGTCTGGTTGTACTGCCCACGCACAGGTTCTGCGCCGGCCCAGCTGTGGCCTAACCGCACAATGTTCAGACCTAAGTCGTGCAGATTTTGGATATCTTGCTCGCCAAACGAGGAGACACCAGGCACCCACTCCAACGGCCGATGCCATGGCGGCTGCTTCATAACGACATTGGTTCCGTGGAAGAACCGCGTACGGCCGAATTCATCGATAATCTGGTGCGTGTCTTGGTTCACCTGGCTGATACGCGCCATGCCTGGATGAGCCTTGTACCAGCCTTCGGCATCCTGGGCCAGCGCACCCGCTGGCTGTGTGCCAAGCACAGCTAGTAGTGATGTAGCAGCAATGGGAGTGAACAGCATCTCAATAAAAGGGGCAAGTCAATTTCAGTAAGAAAACAGAAGTGGGAATGGAGACGGAGGGATGAAGTGTTCAGATAATATAAGAATTAAGGGACCACAGAGAGATATAAATGCCCAGTCCTCCTCTGTACATAAAGTAGGAATACACCTCTTCCACCATGCTCGCTTAATTCCCTGAATAACTGATTGTAACATGCCCCGCAAAACTACCGCAGAACCAGGATTAGGCGCTGGAGACAAGGCGGCTGGGCTCGGCAAGTTAACTGATGATTTTATTGATACGCCGCTTGAGGGAAGAAGAGATGAAAGCATCTGTTGATGTAAATTACATCTATTCGGAAGATTATGTGTGATATTCGACATATTCAGAAATGATCAGTGTGGCGATTATTCAGCAGCTCAACCGAGCTTCTACAAAAGTATAGGTTGGCAAAATATGTGTAGTTTAGGAGATCAGGCCTTTTTACTGATCGTCGTCTCGTATCTTAGGTTCACTATCAGTCGGGCCCTACGATCGATCTTATGGTTATATTAAGAAGGTAGCCTGACGAATAGCTAGACCTCGGCAAGGGTTCCGGATAACGCAACTGAAACATGTGTCAACCCCAAATAGACAGGCTCGTGTCCCCGCGGTGGCATCTACCAAGATCTTCAATTTCCAGCGGGGTAGGTAGTATTAGCCTCGACCAAGTGACAACATTACTGGACTTTAGAGAGACTACATACTGGCAGTGGTGGGCTGTGCAGATACAGACCTGGTAGGTTGGGTTGCAGATGAAAAGATCTATAATCACAAGTAGGATACTACTACACGAGGATACTTATAAAAACTAATTCTAAAGGGAAGAAGGATGGGGTACTTTATGCTTCGCTGAGCTGCTGAGATGTCTGCGGCTCAAAACAGAATCACGAATTACAGTCTATAAAATAACATCTCCAGGCTGAAAGATAAAGGTGACAAGCGGGTAGCCTGGTTTGACTATGAAAACAAAAAGGTGCAATACAATAAGTTGAAGAGCACGGTCGACACCCTGAAGGACACACTGGACAGAATCCGCAATGAATTCGATGAAGGCATCCAAGTGGTCAAGGACGAGATGGTGGCCATCACTAGGATTGAAGTCGAGACCAGCACCAACGCCATCAAAACCAGAAGCCAATCTTGATGAGCGTCACACCTGAATACGAGGGAAAGCAGAGGACTTTCTCCGTGGAATGGACACCGAGCTCGAAGTTCAAGCCGTACGATCTCTGCAAAGCATATAGCAGAGACCAGGGCCAACCTCAGTATGAGAACTAGATCTCAAATGACTATATATTCTGCTCTTCCCTTAGTTCTAACACATACGACCATAGGGTATGGAAAACAGGGCTTCCCGTCCGCTCAGCCGTACTTAAGCCACATATAGTGCACGGCTAATTCTCAATGCGCCCTGAGCTTTAAAACAGCGTCGGATTTGATCTTAGGGTGAGTGTGGGTGATATGGGTGAGAAGTCTGGAGACTGGGGTGATAGAGGTGAGAATAGGGTGAGAGTGGGTGAGAATAGGGTGGGTATTCTTACCCAGATCACCCACTCTCCCACTTTCACTTGAACCTGGACCATAAATATAAGCCCCAGGGCGCCTCTCTGGTTTGTTATTCTTAATCTTTTGTTACCTTGCCATTGAATAGAAGATGCTCCCAAAGGACTTCTAAAGGAAACTAGATAAAAGGATTGCATGTGCTGCGTCATGTGGTTTCATCCTTGAATACCAGAATGAGCAGGAATAAGAAGAAAACTCTATATGCCTCAAGGAGCTAGCCCTGGCGATGCTCAAGAAGTATAAGGACATAGCATTAAATTAGGTGTTATAAGTTATATTATTAATAGATATAGACTAAGATACTTATCTTAGTAGATAGAGACTTTCCTTATAATAAAGCACCCAGTGCTAATTTTTTTAAAGATAAACCTAATCTAACCCTATAACTTCTAAAATCTTTTACAGAATTCTATATTATAATAAGAAAAAATCTACCCTTGCAGAAGTCTGTGTATTAGAATCTTATTAGCTTTACTTTAAGATAGCAGTGTAAGACTTCTTAATCTCTACTAAAGTAGCTTAAAAAAGATATTCTAAATATAAGACTGCTTGGATCTCCTTAGTATTATTTCTTCTAATATATTGAAGTATATTAGGCAGGAGTTAACTAAAAAATACTAAGTTACTAACTGCTAATAAAGCTATAAGAATGCTTTATAGACTTATAGTTATAGTAAAGGATATTAATTACCTTCTTTATGGCCTTTTTAGCAATGATTCACATGATTATAAGCATGAGAGAGTATGAGTACAAACTAGAAGTGCCCTTATATTATTTTCTAGCTTGGGTGCAAGGGTAGGTGCTATAGTAGAGTTAAATACTTACTGCAAATCTAATAAATATCTATATTATAGGGTTAGTTCTTATCTTAAGCCTCCCCTCTTCTGCGCCTTAGGGTCTGTTAAGCTAATTAGAGTTTAACAGCATCTTACTTTTAATATAAAATAGAGTACTAATAGTCAGCTGAAATATTAGGTAATAATTAATCCTGAATTTTTGAAAGGATGGTGCTACTATAATGATAAAGACTTATAAGTCTATAGTTTAGCTACTACAGAGTTTAAATGCTAACTCAGAGGATTAAAGACTAAAGAACTGGTTTAGAGAACATCTAATTCTTAGAATAAGCTTTATTTTTTAGGTAATAGTGTATGGCATAGCTGACAGTGTGTGAGAAGCCGCGCCAGGCTGCGTGAGTTCCCAACTGAGGCAAAAGACCTACTATATTTGACCCCTATGGTCAAACATGCCTGGCTTCCATATATATATCTTTAAGGCTTACTGGATGCCCCTAACAG